CGTGTTACACAGCACGTTTGAGCTTCCTCAAGAACCAATGAGGTTCATTCTCATGTTACGCAGCACGTTTGAGCTTCCGCGGGAACCAATGAGGTTCATTCTCTTGTTACGCTGCACGTTTGAGCTTCCGCAAGAACCAATGAGGTTCATTCTCGTGTTACACAGCACGTTTGAGCGTCCTCAAGAACCAATGAGGTTCATTCTCGTCTGACGCTGCACGTTTGAGCTTCTGCAAGAACCAATGAGGTTCATTCTGGTGTTACACAGCACGTTTGAGCTTCCGCAAGAACCAATGAGGTTCATTCTGGTGTTACACAGCACGTTTGAGCTTTCGCAAGAACCAATGAGGTTCATTCTCGTGTTACGCAGCACGTTTGAGCTTCCGCAAGAACCAATGAGGTTCATTCTTGTGTTACGCAGCACGTTTGAGCTTCCGCAAGAACCAATGAGGTTCATTCTCGTGTTACGCAGCACGTTTGAGCTTCCGCAAGAGCCAATGAGGTTAATTCTGGTGTTACACAGCACGTTTGAGCTTCCGCAAGAACAAATGAGGTTCATTCTGGTGTTTCACAGCACGTTTGAGCTTCCGCAAGAACCAATGAGGTTCATTCTCGTGTTACACAGCACGTTTGAGCTTCCGCTAGAACCAATGAGGTTCATTCTCGTGTTACGCTGCACGTTTGAGCTTCCGCAAGAACCAATGAGGTTCATTCTCGTGTTACGCAGCACGTTTGAGCTTCCGCAAGAACCAATGAGGTTCATTCTCGTGTTACGCAGCACGTTTAAGCTTCCGCAAGAACCAATGAGGTTCATTCTCGTGTTACGCAGCACGTTTAAGCTTCCGCAAGAACCAATGAGGTTCATTCTCGTGTTACACAGCACGTTTGAGCTTCCGCTAGAACCAATGAGGTTCATTCTCGTGTTACGCTGCACGTTTGAGCTTCCGCAAGAACCAATGAGGTTCATTCTCGTGTTACGCAGCACGTTTGAGCTTCCGCAAGAACCAATGAGGTTCATTCTCGTGTTACGCAGCACGTTTAAGCTTCCGCAAGAACCAATGAGGTTCATTCTCGTGTTACGCAGCACGTTTGAGCTTCCGCAAGAACCAATGAGGTTCATTCTCGTGTTACGCTGCACGTTTGAGCTTCCTCAAGAACCAATGAGGTTAATTCTCGTGTTACGCAGCACGTTTGAGCTTCCGCAAGAACCAATGAGGTTCATTCTCGTGTTACGCAGCACGTTTAAGCTTCCGCAAGAACCAATGAGGTTAATTCTCGTGTTACGCAGCACGTTTGAGCTTCCGCAAGAACCAATGAGGTTCATTCTCGTGTTACGCAGCACGTTTGAGCTTCCGCAAGAACCAATGAGGTTTGTTCTCGCGCATCAAGAAGGTTCAGAGCTTCTGTTCATGTTCGTTGATCAATATTTATATGTGAATAAAGGCCTACATTTAAGCTAATCTGTTCATCTGGGATCCAGTCTCTTCAGAAAATGTCATTCATATGGATGTTCATATGATCATTTTATGATCTCTTTGAACTTTTTGAAGCGACAGTGGTAGTTGTGTGGACTGTCAATGGAGGAAGAAAAATCTTTCAGATTTCATTTAAAATATCTTCATTTGTGTTTTCTAAGATGAAAACACTGTCTTACGGGTTTGGAACCATGAGGGTGAGTAATTGATGACAATTTTTTATTATTTTTGTGTCAACTAAGCTTTTAATTAAGTGTTTCTTAACACACCTAATAATACACAAATAAGTTTCAATAGAAATTAAAGTAAATTAAAGTATATTTTAGTTTACGATGTATGCTTGTCAGTATTCGGCAGCAGATTTTAACCATATTTCAAAGACAACAGCAGTAACTATGAAATTACATATAAAGATGTACTGAAGTCCTATATGTCTAAAATATATAGTTCAAATAATTGCATTTAAAATATTTTTTAATACAATAATAATACATTTTCATATTTCAATATTTAATGTAATAAGCAATTAAATGTCTGAAAACATTACATCCAGTTCACACTTAAGGATTATTTTATAGTAATTTTTTCTATATTAAGTACTCTTTTTAAAAGTATGCTACTTCTTTTTCACAAGGGTAAACAGCTGTTTGTCTCAATGCACTGCAAGAGTTTCCCGATCTGACGGCATTGTGCACAATGACGAGGTTCATTGCTGTTCATTTGATCTTTATAGTTGTATGTAGCTAATAAGATATTTTGAGAAAAGTGTTTACGGTGATTTCAAATTTTGTTTTAGTGAGATCCATTTTTCAGTAACTTTTAAACAGGTGTAAGGATAGAATTTGGTGTAAAGGCTCAGTTAAGGGACTAAATGATTCACTGCTGCCAAAATAAATCATCAAAACTGCTGTTAGGTTTTAGGCAGTTTGAAGCAAAAGAGGCAAATGCAAAATACCTGTAGTGCAACTGATTGTTTTCTATAATTGGGAAGGAATAGATTTGTTGTGGAGGATGTGCAGTGTGCTCACATTGCACGATGGAGAGTCATTAGGGAAATAGCAACAATGCAGCTCTGATGCACAATACTGTGCTGAAAACAACATGCAGAGTTCTTATAAAATACTTGATTGACCACAAATGATTACAGAAAACTGTTGGACTAGTTGCTAAAGTGGTTCTGAATTAATTATGCATTTAAATATTGTGCTATTTCTTATTAACAAATGATGTTTCTCCATAAACATAAAAAAAATGTGATGATCATGTACTTTCTCAAGTTCATGTTCAGTACATATTACACAGTATATAATCCATGTGTAGACCTTTTGCGGTGAGTGTAAGGATACAGAGCAGCCTTAACTCAGTGGTTATTGACTGGTATAGTGTGGAGCCCTGAGCACTGGTTGACTGAGATAGATCAATCTTTGTGCTTAGTCCCGAGCCTCAGGGAGAACCAGCTCTCCCCAGTCACGCTTGACCAGACCTTGAATGGCTCTGATCTGCTATCATCAGGGGATCATTTAAAGGTTAATCAATTGATTTCAAATAGATCTCATAATTTGAAATCGAAGGTCAGGCTTTTAATAGCCGTGTGTCTATGACCAAAACAATTTGAGAGCAAATTAAACATATATATGAAAGTGAGCCTATGCCCTTTCCTAATGCGACTGGATCAGAGAGAGGGAAACAGCGACTCATGTTTTCATTGGGAGAAGCGAACTGTGCCGAATAAATTATAGCTGACATTTGGATCTTGATGAAAAGGTTGAGCCTGAGACACAGTAACTAAATAATGTTGAATGGTCAAATGCTGCAGGCAACTTTTCAAAATCCATTTCCCCTGCAAAACTGCAGCGAGTAGCAATAAGAGGTCTTTAATTGGTTTGCCCACTGAGTAAACCTTTCTTAGATGCGGGGCATTTTCTCCGGGCCTCCGTCTGCATGTATGCTAGGCTACACAATTAAAAGCATGTATTGGGCCGTCGCAGTCTCCGGTTTAAAGCACAGAACTCCTCTGCATGTTATCTGCCGTTATTGTCCCGTTCAGAAGGTCTTCGGGGTCTGTCAGTGTTTCTGGGCCTTTCTTAATTTAGCCCACGGTAACGCTCCCCTTCGCTTCTACATAATGGATGATTCTGCACTCCACCATGCAGGAAAGGTTTAATTAAATCATATTCCAATCATAATCCGTGTTGTTAATTAAACTGGATAATTTATAAGTACAAAAGAGGGTATTTATTAGCTGCTCTGCGGTGCGGCGTATTAGAAAGCACCCCCATCCCCCATCCTCTCCCTGTACTATTGATGCCTTCACATGATTGATAATGGAACGGTGACTGCTGTACTATTTGTCTAATGGTGGTGCAATTAAATCCCCTTGTAAATGACCCATGCCTCATTTCATCCTAATCTATGGAATTTTGATTGAATTTGTCAGCGTTAATTGAAAAATACTGCTATTTAATGTCTGCATTGCAGTTGCGGATCAGCCTGTCTTTAATGAGACCGTGTCCTTGTGACCCTGGGGAGGGGGTGAGGGGATTGCCCTTGATTTGGCATGGAGGCAGAGGTGGGGGCTCGGGTCATGGTTTTTAGGGTGCACGAATGTCCCCAAAGATTAGGACTAATCACCAGCGTGAACGGAGAAAACGGGCGCATTCCTTTTAATTATGTGGACCAAATGATGCTCACATGGACAAAGATTTTACAAATATGGAGACACATTTATTGATCAGTGATTCCACTGAATAATTCATTATTTAATCCCCCTCCCCCATTAAACATTGACAATTCCATTATTATTATTTTTTTTGTTTTTTTATTATTATTATCCAGGGTTTTGGAATTGTGCCTGCCTACTGGCGAATGATTTAACATGTATAAAAGCTTTATCTGAAGAAACGTCAGAGAATTATAGGTTTTCATTTTCATACTTCTTTATGTATTTATGCAGAGCTGATTGTTTACAGATGTGAAGAACACAGTGTATGTGCGGGTGAGGGTTATTAACTGCTGATTCACAGATCATAATGTGTCTGAAATGAGATCTTTTGATGACTGCTATAAAGGGCAGTGTCTCATGTCATTATGAACAAGCCAATGTCAGTGTCATCTCCAGGGCCGTCGCTAACGGGGCGAAATGTGGGGACGATTCTAGGGACCCCTGGAACGGTAAAATATTTATTTTACATTTACAAAATGACATCTCAGAATATGCATGCACTGTGGCCAAAAGGATGGTTTTTTCATTAACTGTCTGGAATACAAAAAATAAAATAAAAAAATCAGCAGGACCATTAGATGCCAAAATACACATCAGATCACATCTCACATCACATGATTCTTGTTTTGACTGTTTTGGAATGTGAGACTGTGTTAGTGACGTTCTAATTTAAGAGACAGCAGCCAGCGCTCGCGGCTCAGGCGCGTCAGGACAGTTCCACAGAAACGGATGAAACTGGACCAATAGCAAGCGCAGAGTCGCGGTGGGCGTGGCCAGAGCGCATGGTGGAGACGCTTAAACCGAAGGAGCGTAATTCAAACTCACACTTCAGTAGATGGTCACAGCTGATACTGCGAGTGCGAGGAGCAATTTATTGTGACTTCCATCAGGTCGGAATGAAAAGCGGCCAAGCAGAAGGGACAAGGACGCTGAAATAACTCAAGGGAGGACGATAAAGCTCATCTGAGATGCTCGACCTTCTTCTCGTCCAGACATTTCTCAGCAAGGGATTTGCGTCGTTTGTTTGTGTTTTAATGCACTTGTCTCGCTCTGTTCCTATAACGAAGAAAATCAGTTTGGCACTGAACTAAGTCGAAACAGATGCAACGGTTTTACGAACTGCGCATACAGAGAGACATTCGCAGGATTACCAAAACCTCAGAGAGTGTCAGTGTATGACACTGTCCAGCAGTGAGATCCTCATCTGAGAAGCACAGGGGAGACAGCTGCTCCCACAGACTTCAGGACTTTATAAACTAGCCATATACGATCATATGAGTGCAGCTTACAGTACACCGTTCATGATGATGCAGCGTCCGGTGGGAAGCACCACTGCATTCAGCATTGACTCGCTCATCGGAGGTCCGCCGCAGCCCAGTCCGGGACATTTCGTGTACACGGGCTATCCCATGTTTATGCCCTACCGGTCAGTGGTGCTACCTCCTCCGCCACCGCCACCTCCTCCAACTCTTCCTCAAAGCGCGCTCCCCGCGACCCATCCGCACCACCCGATCCCGGGCTTACCCAGCGGGTTCTGCTCCAGTCTGGCGCAGGGCATGGCGCTCACATCCACGCTAATGGCCACGTTACCCGGCGGCTTCTCCAGCTCGCCGTCTCAGCAGCACCAGGACGCGGCGAGGAAGCTGAGCTCTCAGTCCATTCACGCCATGTTTGAGAAATCTCAGGATATTCGTTTGGATGGAGAGGATGGGAAAACGTTCCCAACGAAAGATTCAACGACCCTTCCATCATTTCACGACTCGCACACCTCTACAGGTGAGATAAAGCCAGCCTTCAGAACTCTTCACACTTTCAGAGAGGGTGCATTGTTGTGAATAGGGTTGCATTGAACTAAGTCCTTATTGCTTTGAGAAGTCTTTAAAAAATAATATTTGAAGAGCATGCAAATCTGATCATGCCATGCATGTTAAATAAAAGTAAAAACAGACCCATAGTTGTTACTGATTCTTGTGTTCTCAAATTTTAAAATGTAAAAAAAAAAAAAAAAAAAAAAACTTAAAATAATTATAAACATTTATCATTCCGATGTCATAAGTTTTATTTTTACTGCTTTCTAAGAAGCAAATTGTGTATGTCTGCTTTAGGCCTTTACGCTAAAATTAATTTTGTCACTTAAAATTCAGTTTATCGAGTTGCAGCGAGAAATGTGGGACGGAAATAATTATATAAAATCTCCCGGAGATAAAATGTCATGATTGTGGGATTTCAGTGACACACACGTGAATTAAAGGCCCAAATCAAGTTTTCCAGGGAATAGTGCCTGAGGCCGAGCTGCCATCAAGGACTAAATTAGTTCATTTTAATTGAGGGATCGGAGGGCCAGCGGTGTTTAAATGTCCATAAAACTGTAAGCAAAATTCACTGTCGCCTGGATCATTTATATGTAGGCAGAGAAAAATAAATGTAGTCCAGCATTATTGTAATATAGCCAACCATGTCTGCAACGTAAAGAAAAAGGACATTAGCTGAAGGGACAATTTGATATTGAAATCTGAACTTATATATATTTTTAAAAAGGTATATGTAAAATAATGCATGTTTTAAAAAAAAGCCAAATGATCTCAAGAGATGCAGAAGGGGGGAAACTTTTAGGCCGGTTTGTTTTGAGGTGTGCAAACTACTTTCCTAAGAGATCCATCACCGTGCGTAATTGCGCGTAAAAGTGGCAGCAATAAACAGGAAGAATGTGTTGCGAGACAAGACTAGGTCAGATTCTCATGAAAACACACAACTTGTTCCCCCGACCACACTAGTCAAAACTAAAAACACAAATGACCTCACAACAGATACATTTAGATGTTTTCTTCTGATAACAGTTCTCAAAGTAATTCTGCTTTTTATTTCATTCCCATAGTGCGAGGTCACAGCAAAGACGACGCGAAGGAGGACGAGTGTCACAGGAAAGATGAGAGCTTCTCCATGGACAGTGATTTAGATTACAGCTCCGACGACAACGGGCCCGGGAACGCGATGTGTCAGAAGGAAGATGGAGACGGCAACGGAGGACTGGACGACGGCGTCCACGGTGGGAATGGGGCGGGAAACACCACGTCCACCGGGAAAAATCGGAGAAGGAGGACGGCTTTTACGAGCGAGCAGCTCTTAGAACTGGAAAAGGAGTTTCACTGTAAGAAATACCTATCCCTCACAGAACGCTCACAGATCGCCCATGCCTTAAAGCTCAGCGAGGTGCAAGTCAAGATCTGGTTTCAGAACCGGAGAGCCAAGTGGAAACGTGTCAAAGCGGGAAACGTGAACTCCAAAACCGGAGAGCCATCCAGAAACCCGAAAATTGTGGTGCCCATTCCGGTGCATGTTAGTCGGTTTGCAATACGCAGCCAACACCAACAGTTAGAACAGGCCAGACCTTGATACACTAGAGGACCAAGACAATTCTGAGAAATCTAAATATAACCAAACTGTTCTTGAGGAACCCAGGACACGCAGCCTATATATATATAGTTTTCGTTTAAACTACAGAGTTGTGCAAACGGGGGGGAAAGAAAGCAACAAACTCCGTTTGAACGAAAAGGTTCAAACTAAGAACTACTGGGAGGGAGAAACTGCTGCCTGTTTTATTTCCAACTTTGGACCAAATCACGAACAAATTTTAGTTCTTGAATTTCCACTATGTAGCCTATTTAAAAACTTAATCAGTTTTTTGTTTAGTTTTGTGTGACTGTCTAGTTCACGTGTTTTTTGCAGAGATGAATATTATCCTAAAAGGAGCACTTCTGGTCTCTGCTGAAGAACACAATATAATTCAATTAATAGTAAAATTAACACAATTCCCTCGAATTTATAAAAACAACCTGTTTAAATATCAGGGGCGTCGGACTGGGGGTAAAACCAGTACTGATTACCAGGGCCCCAAGGGGAGAGAGGGCCCTTGAAAAGTCTGGAATATATTTTATTTGGAACATGGGGGCCATCAGGACTGCCTATGCATAGGGCCCGGGATCTTGTGCTACGCCCCTGAATATGTGCTTTTTATTTGTTATGGTAAATAGCCTTTATTTAATTTTTTTTCTTGCATTTATTTCCCTTTTTCTGTAACCTCTTCAGACGTCACGGGCACGTTGCTAATTTATTTAATATTGTGAGAAGAAAAAAAACTTGCTAACGTTTCATGAGTTTACTGACTTCAGAATATTGTGTGGATTAAAGCTGGACCATAAATAATTGTTTTAAAAAAAATTGTCCTTTTTTATTTTTTAAATGCAACACGTAAGTCACACTATTCACTGAAGTGCGCGTGAGGGGGAAATAACCTAAACTACATCATCAATTCAAATACATTGAGTGGGCTAAACTTGTTTCTTTGCATTATTTGTGCAACTTTTGTCTTTATAATTTTTTTCTTTATAATTTGTAGCAATATTTTAAACATAAGTTAATAATAATTACTGCTAATAATGGTATAGTATTGCACCTGCAGAACGGCTTCCGCTTGCGCCATCTGTTCCGCGCGGTCTCTGCTCTGTTAGTACAGATGATCTGAAATCATCGAACCTCGTCAGGTTTGAATCGGGTGTTGTGACAGGAGGGGGTGTGGTTCATGAATATTTTTCAGGGTCACGATGAGGGATACAACCTCGTGTCAGCCTTGATCTCCGGCCGGCGTTGACCTGCCTTATTTTATGGGCTACCTCGACGAAAAGTAACGAGCCTATTCGTCACACACGGGGCACGTCGGGAAAGATTGAGACGCAAATGTAAATCAAAAATAATTTCGCAAACAGCCTCTGCTGTATATGCAATTGATCATAGTGCAATAATTTAAACCTCGCAGCTCTTGAAATTTCTATATTTTATGTTCATATTTTTTTCCATAGGCCTACTCATTTCGACAAATTGCTCATAGGTCAATTCAAACCTCTTTTAAAAAAAGTACACCAATTTTAATAGTTTATTTATCAATATAATCATATAATATTAGCTAATTTTGCATTTGTGTCTGCATGCAAGCTTGTCGAAATATACATTATTCTCAACCAACGCTACAGGTTTATATTATAGTTTCCAAATTCGACAGATTAATAATAGTTTTTTTTTTACAGCATAGGCCTACTTAAATTCTACAGTCCTGTTATTTTCTCCAAACTTGACACATTCATTACAGTCATTTAAGAACATAATTTATTGAGATATAATTAATAATATAAGTAGAATTTGTAATATATATCATAGGTAACCTTTTTATTAGTTTAGAAAACATTTATTTACCTTATTATGAATACGATTTGAAAAAAAATATTTTTTTAAATCAAGTAGAAATTAGTAAATACTTGGAAAATGAGAAAAAAGATTCTATTAACATTCTTACTGTGTCCATGTTACAAGCAATATGTAATTATAATTGATTACTTTATATGATAACAAAAACAGTTTCATTACAGTCTGCTGTGCAAAATCAAAACACATTAAGTACTTTTTTGTAGTAATCAGCATGTACCTTTCTATAGAGTAACATGAAAAATGTAACATGAAACAAAAAGTTATGTGGTTAATAGACTCAAGTTTCATAATTAAACTGGAGTTCTAATTTTTCTTCCTAGAGAAATTGAATTATTGTTGGTAGTAGATTTATTGTTGTGTGCAAGTGCAAGTCCTGAGCATCGCAATAGATCAGACATCATCAGTGCCTCATCATCACTGACACACACACACACCAGTGTAAACAATTGAAATGTGCTGGTCTGAATGATGTTGGAAAATAGACAATGCTTTCATATACATTTACATGAAAACTGGGCAGAAATTCATTTTATAAGGAACCGTGACGAGAGAGAGAAAGAGAGATCTGACAATTACCTAAACTCTAATGAATTTTTGTGAAAATTGTAATCAAGGCTGTCCGTAGTGTCTGACAGATAAATGGGCCCGCGGGGATGGGCTCGGGCCGCAGCTTTTCACTCCAGCTTGTCCCTCCTGCACTAAATTAACAGCGTCAAATGAACCTCCAATGATTAATCCTGACGGAGAGCACTGGCTGCAGAACCAGTGAGAGCACTGGAACACACACATATGCTGGAAGTTTCTGTGTTCAACCACAAAGAGAACACTAATGAGAGAATGACAAATACTTTCTTTTTTTTACTTCTGTGATTTTGTAACATGAAACATTACTCAAAGTAATTTTCAACAGTTTTTTATTAAATTAAAACCTTTTTAAATTATGACCAACATAATTGTAATCATAATGAGAGATTAAGATTAGTTTAAAGATTTTTTTTAAAGATATATCTAATTAGGCGGACAGAAAAATTCCAATATTATGATTTTATAGTAACAATCATAACTGCTATTAATAATTAAGCATGTTTTTTCAATGAGCATCAAGCAGTCAGTTTGTGCTCGTGAGTTATAATACCACCAGTTTAACCAATTTGAAAAGAGCTACAGGGAGGAAATCACTTACAAATCATACACACATATGTATGATATTTACAGATTCTGTGTAAAACAAAAATGTTTACAAGACAAAACAGAATTTTGAGGTAAGTACAATTTCATGTCTGGGTTATAATTGGAGTTGATATCATATTAATTCACGTTAAATGACAGAACAGGTGTCATCAGATTCATGTTCAACTTGCTATAAAACAAATTATATATATTATATGTTAAATACATTTTTAGAAAGTTTCATGGTTTGGGTGGGAAAAAAAAACAGGGAATATACTTTAGCATTTTCCACAAAACAGGACAGTAGGATTTGACAATTGCGAGAGACTAACACACACACACACACACGTTGTATCCCCTTACACTAAACCTTCCATCACAGAAAACTTTCTGCATTTTTACATTAAAAAAACATCACTCGCTTTTTTTCCTTGTGGGGTCTGACCAAATCAAAATGTTTACATCTTACTATCTTTGTGGGGACATTTGGTCCTCTCAAATTAGGTTAAGGAAGAACACACACACACACACACACACTGATTGCTCATGTTTTAAAGGGGCATTCCATAGACATAATGATTTTTATACTGTACAAACTGTATATTCTCTCCCCTAACCCTAAACCATACCCATCACAGAAAACATTCAGCATTTTTAAATTTTCCAAAAGTCATTAGTGTTTAGTGCGGTTTTCCTCATGTGGACCAAAAAAATGTCCACACAAGGACAAGGATTTCAGATATTGCCATCTTTGTGGGGACATTTTGTCCCCATAACGTAGGGTTTACCAGGACCACACACACACACCTGTTTTATGCACTTATTTCATTTGCCATTTTCATTGAATTTCCTATAATTGGCCATTTAGAAGGAAAGTGTTTACAGTAAAATGAAGATGGGGTGATGATGGTTATGACAGTTTGAATTTATGCATGCATTTTAAAACGGCCATGTTTTCTATTAGTGTTTCACCCCACCTCGGAACTGATGATGAAGCACAGCACTCTTTGCACTTGACATTAATTCACACAATTTAAGCATGAGTAATAGATTTATTAACTATAATTTGTAGCAGAGAAATACGGGATTCCATCAAAGATAAGACACTGAGCTACAGCAGTTAAAACAGAAGGCATTACAACACACCCGTCTCTGTACGGCAGGATTAGAGAGTGTGACTTTTCCGGCTCTTTCTCTCTGAACATTTGGATTATCATCACAACATGATGGTGCAGCTCACGCCTCATTTCAGGGCTTCTCTAGCATTTCTAATGCCATTATTGTGTGTGTGAGAGGGACACACACACACACACACACATATCATGATAGATGAACAGCTCTGTTAATGCACTGAACCAGTGCTGTGCCTCATTGGATTTCTAAGTGGAACTGATTTATGATGAGAGATGATCAGACTAGATCTGGACAAGATGCTTCAGGGTTTTGTGGTTCTGGACCACCACTGACATTTTAAGGATTCATTTCCCATGGCTCCTTTAGCCTGTCAACCTTCGACAGCTTACAAGCTGCAAATGTTTGTGAAAGGAATTATAAGAAAACAAACACACTTCCTGTCAGTCACTCATAATCACGCTCCTACTTCCCCTCTCAACCACGAAACATTTCCTCTTTCTATAGATTGCTCTTTTCTCTCTCTGCCTTGTCTAATCTCTTTAATTACATCTGTTTTCCTGGGCTGCTGAGGCCTCTTTTGTCCTCCCGGTCAGGGGGCAGATTCAAGCCCCGCATCCCCTCCTCGGATGCTTTGTGGAGCTGTGGCTCTCTTCCTGCGAGGGAAAGGATGAGAAGGGGATTAGAGGATCTTTATCTCATTAGAGACACAGTGAGTCGGCAGGGCCCGGCTCTAACGCCTTCATCTGCACCGCGGAGGCCGGAGAGTGGATCGCACCCGCTGAGAGACCCGAAACTAGGCGTTCGGGCTGCGAAAATGCGAGAATCGCAAAACATACACGTGTGTTTCCATTAGCTTACACTTCCTGAAACAGTTGATTTGTATTTAAGATATCTGAAGTAAATTCCAATATATATATATATATAGTATTATATATTATAAAGTCAAATTTACAGACTTTCAGCTCTTTGAACAAATCAAACAAAAGTCATTGAAATAGCTCAACACAACAAACGTTTTAAGTGGTTTCTCCAAATTGAACTGAAAATGCAACTTTTAATGACTTCTCCAGTCTCAAAATTATTCAACCCCCTGAATAGAATCCCTCACAACATCACAAATCTGCAAAACAGGTGTTGTCTCAAGCACACCTGATGGAACTGATCAAGGGCTTCATTAGTTGCACCAGGTGCGTTTGAGCTAGAACACATGAAATACCTGAACTGGCTAGGTTTGTTGAGTGTCACGTTTGACTGCATGTTAGAAATATGGCAAAAGAATGGTCCAAAAAGTTAAGAGAAGATATCACCGCCCTTCACAAACATGGGACAGGACACAAAAACATAGCAAAGGCACTAAATGTCCCAAGAGACACTGTTGGAAGCATAGTTCGCAAGTTTAAAGTTGAAAGAACAGTGGTTACACTACCTGGACGGAGCAGAAAAAGGAAGCTATCAATGACTGTTACCAGATTTCTGAGAAGGTAGGATCAGAAAAACCCTCGAGTGACTGCAAAAGACCTGCAGCAATGCCTTGTGGCCACAGGCACTGAGGTTTCAGCCTGCACAGTACGGCACGTACTAAACGCAGACAGTTTTCCAAGCCAGAACTCCAAGACGCACACAACTGCTGACACAAAAGCAAAAGTGCTCAAAATCATAAATAAGCCATATAAGTTTTGGGATTCTGTTCTGTGGAGCGATGAAACAAAACTGGAACTTTTTGGCCCTATGGATCAGCGGTATGTCTGGAGGAAGAAGAATAAAGCATATGCTGAAAAGAATACTTTTAATATATTGATGTATATGCGTATCCAGCACATCCCAAAGACTTTCAATGAATTTAAGGTCTGGACTCAGAGGTGCTGATTCATGGGTGAAAAGGATTCCCCAACCATTCTTTCACAATTTGATTAATGTTGACATTGTCATCCTGGAATATGGCCAAGATGTGTCTTCCTACATGGTTGTTTAACCCTTGTGTTATGTTGCGGGTCAATTTCACCCGTTTCGATTTTCTAGTTGTTGGAAATACTGGTTAACCTTTGTTTTTTTTCTTGATATTTTGTGACTTTTTCTCATTTATCATGATGAACATGCATGCAAAGTTTCAACATGCTGATGTGTTTTGACATATACAAACAAAATTACTGTTACGTTCGTGATGTTCGCGGGTCAATTTTACCCTCATAGGCAGCCATTCAAAAGCAACTGTACAGACACAAAATAAAAACATTTATTTTCTGTATGTAAGGGCACTTCAACTCCAGTTCTAACGTGCAAGTGTATCTAAAAGTGCTCTAACCCTAACCAAACACACTTGAAAAAGCTAAAATCACAGTGTTTAGAATTATTTGCAAATTACAGATGAAAATCTTTGTTAGACACAGATAGTAAAATAAGCTCTCATTTCAATATTCAAGATATCTAAAATACCTAGCTTTTAACCAAAACTTTTATGTAGGATTTTCAAAGGCAGCTTCACAGAGCCAAAAATAAATAAAAAACATTTATTTGATGTATGTTTTTGTTATGTTTGGTTTCTCACTTCCCTGTGAGTGAATAATGAAACTAGGTCTTAGGAAACTAGGGAAAGTTAACTTAGGAAAATTAAAAATGTTCATTATACAGCAAAATTGTATTGTTCAGTTACGATGTTCAAAGCATAAAATGTAAAAAAAAAAAAAAAAAAAAAAATGTATATGAAGTCAGTATACTGTTTATTTTCCAATTTTGTCAAAAATTGGTTTAAAAACATTTTTTATAAATCATATTTTCAGATATAATATTTTTGTAATGTTTGACAAATGTTGATATTAAAAGTTTACTGTTTGTATCTAAATCTTTGTTGTTTTTCATAGTGTGATTTTTGAGGAATTGTATTGAATCCAATTAGGGTCAGTTTGACCCGCTCCATAAAGGGTGTACACAGAATTCTAAAAGCTACACAAGCTACACACTCCATCAATTAGGGTTAGAATTACTGTTGCCAAACATAAGAAACATAATAATCACTGCAATAACGATCAAATCATAGAGTCTTGAGCATCTGCCTATTTAAATATAAACAAACACATTTATATATATATATATATATATATATATATACACGCACACACATACACACACACACTATTAAATAAATTAAAAGGTTACAAAATTTGAGGAGAGAATTATATTAAGAAGCTTTTTATTGAAAAGAGACATTACAGTATAAGACTCTGCATCAGGTATAATTTTTCAACACAGTACTGTACAGCTGACACAAACTCAATATAATAACAACAATAATAATTAGAAATACAACACCGATATTTTGATTCAGAATGATAGTTGTGATGTCAATGGACTGAATAAAGGAACAAATGCAAAACCCAAGTAGTGTGAGAGAGCTCCTCCCCTTTCAGATTAGCATATTCATAAATAATTAAACCGGTCTCTTGGGTCTGAAAGTAACACGGAGACGGTTGATGAAATGAGGTAACGAACACAAACGAAAACAAAGTAAACAAACACTACGGGCTTCTCCATTTTTACATCTATTTACACAAAGCGACGACTGGTGAAGGGAAACTGAAATAAAAACGAGGATATGTTCAAGCAACTTGGAACGTACTGATAAAGCCCCCAACGGTCTGCATTCTCTCTCACCAGGGCTGGCATGATCCTTTGGTTGCTGTCATGGTATTGGTTGGATTTTTGTCTCATTCATGTTTTCTTTATTCAGTTACAGATAGACAGATGATCAAAAAAGATGTTTTGCTCAAAGTGATGGATTACAAAAGAAGGAGATGGGAGGACTGACAAAAAAAAAAGAAAGAAAGATATGTACACAAGTTGTTCATAAGGGTTTTTTTCATATTAAAATGGCAGACTCTTTAGCGTCACCTGTCAGGGAACAGTCATTTTATGAAGACGAAGACATTTACACAAGGAAGAGAACATTTACATCCGTTCATGCAAAAAAGAAAAAGAAAAACGACAGTTTTTTTTTCACAGAAAGGATTCAAAGTGGACATTATATTGTGGGTTCTTCACAACAAGTGATCGGTGTTCTGTAGTGCATTTAGTCATAAATAATGGTTATTGTGGTAAAGCCTCTAAAGGCCTGCTACGTTATATACAAGGCGAAAACTGCACCCTTTTGAGCTGAAAATCAACATACCTCAATATTTCTCTCATAGTTTACATCCTCACATCCTTCACTAAAGCTTTTCAACTCTCACTGTTTTCTAAACTATCTACGTTTCTCTACATATTCCCAAAATGTCAAATCAACAAGCAGATTTTTTGTATTGCGGAATATCAATTCTACAACACAGAGCCTCTCACATCTCCAACCCCGAGCCAAGTACCTTCACATTTCTAGTTTCTACTACCTAGCGAAGAGTAAAATCAATGGAAGCTGAGATTAAATGATCAAAGCCCATTAAATCATATTATGGAGTAAGTCAATATCAAACCCTGCATGGGATCTTCTGTAATGATATACGACCTGAGACCGAGTCTTCCATCGGCTTTACATCTCTCAATAACAATGGCAGCTCGGACCGCTGGGGTGACGTTCAAGAACGCGGCGAGAAATTATTACTCGTGTGTCTACCTGGCGGGATTTTGGCTTCGTATTGCTTTAATACTCCTTGACACACAATAAAGGAAGAAGATAAAGGCAAGGAGGAAAAATAAGCTCTGAAGAACAATTCAGAGAAATAGGGAGCAGAAAGAGGGAACTCGACTCAAACAGGCACACTTTCAGACACCGAAACAAGAAAGGGGCTGGTCAAAATATAATAATAAAGGCTCATGTCAGACTGGGGGTGTTTTCTTCAAATACCTTCAATATAGTACACTACTTAGAGAAAAAATAGAATGAAAGAGAAGGAAGAAGTATGTACAGATTGGGATTGAAGACCCAGAGAGCCCTTCTCTTCGCTGAGATGCATGAGGTCTCGGACTCTGCAGTGTAAAGTGTGTGTGAACAGCAACAGAGATGACCCGAGAGAGGCACGCCCTGTACGAGAGCAACGGCCACCATGAGCATATTCTGTGCTGAGAGACGGAGCAACCTACTTGTGATATTACTTTCATTAAAACGAGGACAAGCATAGCGGTGGAGTTTTTTTGATGATGAACATGGGCAACATATAAGGCTAGTTTGACGTGTTGAAAGATAAAAAAATTGGCTAAATAAAAGCTGTTGAAAGTAAAAAATGGAATTCCCTTTTTAAGTCTGAGAAACATAAATCTTTAAACACCTTTTTAAGAATCCTCCGTTGGTCCAGTAATGAGCACTAAGACAAATGCTACTCAACAATGTTAAAACAAAAAAAGGTTTAAAAGACCACGTCAGATTCAAACTTCAAACGTATGACTCAATATTTGGGTGTTTTCCGTAAACGTCATTACATCCTTTCACATACCTTTAAAATAAAAGAAGACATAATGGACATACTGACTGAAAAAGAGTCAGAACAGATGCAAAGAAAAAGTCTGAGGGAGAGAGAGAACAGACAAAAAAAACCAGTGTCAAAGGGGTGAGATGAAAGTCCAGACACGCATGGTGACCAAGTGAAGTTCTCTGGGACTTCTGGGTCATTTTGAAGATTCGGCGTAAAAGTATCCCATCATTTCCTATTGGACTCCACAGAAAAGAGGCTGATAATATGTGTCACCAGGTCATCGGTTACCAAATACATACACACCCTATTCTCCCATCATGCACTTGGTAGCTTCAACTGGCGCAGTCCGAAAAGCAGAATCCAGGGTTGTTTTAATTTTTGTTCCACGATGCAGCGAGACATTGGACGAGGGCACTCTCCCAAAAAAATAGATGACACAACTGGCCAAGACCTTGTCATGATGACAACGTTTCCAACTAAAGGGATTGTAGAGTCAGGGTGCGGATCGTTTCACAAGAGGCAAGGGGAGGCCGTGAGTGCAAACACAGTAGCTCTTCTCATGCTTCATCATCATCATCATTCCCTTGAGTCTGCTATAGTTTCATGATTCTGATGCAGTGGTGGCGCTGTACATATGAAGGTGTGTATAGAGAGGGAGGAGGAGTGCTGACCAGAGTGCATGTTCATGTGTGTGTGTTTTATTCCTCATATAACTGCACTGTTCATGCTGCTGCAGCTGTTATTGCGATTATTGTTTCTGCGGGACAGGTTGGGAGTGGCCATGAGCGGGTAACGCTCGTCGGGACAGCCGTACTGAAGGAGGATGTCCATACACTCCTGACTGTTAGCTTGCCGTGCGTACGCCAATGCCGTGTTGCCGTGAGCATCCCGTGCCATGATGTCCACGCCGTACTACAGAGAGACAGATGAAGAGAGTTAGCAAGAGAACACCGGAAACTTTTTAAGAGCAAATAAAGTCAGACAAATCCTATGCTGTTCCTGGCTGTGTGTAACACCTGCCACTAATATATCCTTCATGTAATTATTATTATTAAAATTATTGTTGAAATTATTATATTATTAAATTATTTAAATAAGGTCCCTATTTTAACACCTTGAACAAAGAGACCGTTATTGAAGAATGTAGTTAAAAACTATATTTGAGCTTTCTCACGATCAGAGAAAGGCAGTACAATAGTATTAAATGTCGACATGAAACAGAAGTTGCAAATCTTTTCTTCTCTATTGTGACGTATATCCGAGTGAAACAGCTTCTCGAACAAGACAAAAAATGAGGGCGGGACTTGATTTTGTCCATCAGAAATTATTGTTTGAAAATGGATTTTTATTGCAAAATGGGTGATATATGTACTAATATTACAATTTTTGTATGACTCCAAATGATTACAATTGGTCTGATTAGGACGATATTGGCAGAATGGCTTATCTTGTCTTGATTTGTTCCAATTCAAACAGAATCATTTTAAGAATTAAAAAAAAAATCTGTTTTTCAAAAACCCTTATTGGTTATCCATCATTTCCATCTGCACATTACTGCTTAATGTCTTCACTAGAAGTATGCAACATTCTTGAATAGAGCTTTTATGGGCTTACTGTCAGAGGTATATTTATGCAATAGTTATCTTTACTTACTTTACTAGATATTTTATGTTCTTCAGAATGAATCAAAACAGGAAAACACAAATATTGACAAATAATTAAAGGAGAACTCCGGCGCAAAATGAACCTTTGGTCTAATAAAACATTGGTACCTAGTCTACCGTTCTCTGAGATTTGTTTTCATGATAATCGAATGTAAAGAGCTTTATCTCTAAAAACTGTTTAGCGTATAACGCTAGTAATGGGCGCATATAATAAGTAAAAAGAAATCGCTAGTTTATACCACTAACAAGGCTCAAAATATCCCCACACGAACACAGTAACATAATGAGGGTCCCTACATGCAAAACGAAGCATTGAGAACTTTGTAAGTGTACAGACCGTTTAATAAGTAGATATTTTATGAAGACAGTCCACTTCGTGTATACAGACAGGAGCCATCTTTGGAAAACAGTCTCGACTAATCAAACCACGAACGCCATTCATACAGTTCAGAAGTTCACTGAACTTCATACAGTTCAGCTCACTTAGCACATCGTTCGTGGTTTGATTAGTCGAGACTGTTTTCCAAAGATGGCTCCTGTCTGTATACACGAAGTGGACTGTCTTCATAAAATATCTTCTTATTAAACGGTCTGTACACTTACAAAGTTCTCAATGCTTCGTTTTGCATGTAGGGACCCTCATTATGTTACTGTGTTCGTGTGGGGATATTTTGAGCCTTGTTAGTGGTATAAACTAGAGATTTCTTTTTACTTATTATATGCGCCCATTACTAGCGTTATACGCTAAACAGTTTTTAGAGATAAAACTCTTTACATTCGATTATCATGAAAACAAATCTCAGAGAACGGTTGACTAGGTACCAATGTTTTATTAAACCAAAGGTTCATTTTGCGCCGGAGTTCTCCTTTAATTACACTTCATGGATTTAAATAATTCCATCATTCAATTTTTTTTTTTTTTTTTTTAGTTTTGTTCCATTTTCTTACTGCTGAAATTGCTGAAGTGTTAACCAGATCAGACAGGAGTGGTGCACACTGCACCTGACAAATATTCACCCTTGGTGTGGAAAGACCATTCATTTGTGATCAGTTGAGCTTTTAGGTTTCACATTTGGTGTGAAAAGGTCTTTACTCCAAAACACATCCTGGCCAGTAGTTGGCTGTGATAAAACGAGTGTGTGCTGTAGCTCTTACCCATATGAGCAGTTGCGTGATCACAACAGTCCCCTTGCGGCAGGCCAGGTGCAGGGCTGTCCGGCCGTCACCTTCCCCGCAGGTTTCGTTGACCTCATCTCTGGAGCCGTTGGCCAGCAGTATGACCACGAAGCGCAGGTCTTCCTCCGCCGTGGCCCGCAGTAGCTGCTGTCCTAGAGACAGCTCTGTGCACGCCAGCGATGCCAAAAACAACTTCTGCTCGTATTTGGCCCTGATCCAGCGCTCACGTTCCTCTCTGAAACAACACACACACACAGAATCTACAGTTAGGCTCAAGATTGAATTAACGCGGGGCCGTCAACACGCGGTTCGCACCGGTGGCATGTTTTGGTCTGGCTCTCATTCCAAATGACATTTAAAATTTGATGGGATTCGTGTACTGCTTTTCCATTTCATTTCTAGCACAGCGCCAAACATTTACTAGCACTCACATCTCCATTACACACAGCAGCATCTAGACTTTAATACACTAAAACAAATATTATACTGAGCAGTACAGAAACAATACCACCACATTTTGAATGGTTGATGTGTGTGTGTGTGTAAATGTATGTGTAGTAAAGCCTTGTTTATACTTTCGCTTGGCTCCGCACCGCGAGCCTCCGCTAACTGCGCACGCTCCTCCCCAAACGGACGAGGCGTTCATTCTTGACGCGCTCGCCGTCGCACTACTCTTTGAAACATCAGGGGCCGACTCGCAGTGTTCTCTAAACCATCAGGAAGCAGCGGTGAGAAGTAGTAAGGTACACACGTGACAATGTTTGTTATTTTATTCGCCAAACCCACGCTATAAAAGAACCAAAGAATCGTGTAAAATCCAGTAAACCTTGAGATTATTACTTGTGACATTAGAACAAAATATATGGATATGAGAACATATGTATAAAACTAAATTAAACCACAATGTCCTAAATATTTTACATTTTCATGAAATAAATTTCATGAAATTTGTATTAAACAAGGACCTTTATTTAAATTTCAAAAAGGCTTATTTCTGCTATTGTAGGCTAATTTGATAAATGTAAGCAATTCATTTAAAGACTAATAAAAAGACAAGCGCAAACTGGATGAATTGAAGTTACTTATAATTGAAAACGACACTGTTCAATTTTTAATGTTGTAAAGCTGCTTGCTTTAAAGCAGTCTATCGTATAACGTGACATAAATAAACGAGACGTGACTTGAGTGAAGTGCCGATTTGCAGAGTTCATGCAAACATATCCATGTTGATATGATCCATTGTTTTATTAAAAAACATTTTTAGAAAATGTAGAAAATTTTAGAAAAAGTGAGCAGCACATATTAACATATTCGTCTAAATGCCGCTTCCAGCAGCACGGGTGGCATCGGGATGTTCGCTAACACACAGTATACCAATGCAAAGGAATTTCAAACTTATTTTCACACCTAACTTAAATGAAGAACAAAAAAGAACTTTGCCGTGAATACAGTATATCGGCGCCTTAAGAATGTGAGTGTGTGTTTGACAAGTTAACCAAGCAAACGCAAACAGGAGAGGGCCATCAGAAATGGTTGGATCGTTTACAGCACCCCTCCTAAAACTGTGCTATGATAGCACTTAATCTCTGTTAATCCCCACAGAGTAAACAGCCTTTCTCAGACAACTCGGGATTAGTTCAGCTTCAGCTCCTATCTGAGGGGAAGAGGGAGTTCTGATATCCCCGGGGAGGGGAAGGGAGTTGGGCAGAGGATATTGAGCTGTTCCCTAAAACACAGTTGCCCATCGGGGAGTCCAAACCCATGAGACTAAAGAACAGACATCCTACTGTCACAATTCCTCCTCACCAGGAGCATCTGGACAGGAACAAAGTGTACACACGATGATTAGAGATGTCAGGACTAAAGTCTGACTTAACACACCAATGGAGTCATTTCCATTTTCAGGTTTTGACAAACAGAAATCACATTTAATTTGATATAGAAGTATAGTGTAGGATTTGTGGGAACATGAATTTTCAATGTTTCATTTGAATGATCAACACACAATTCCAGGGACAGGCACACAAATGTACGACATATTGAATGGACTGTACTTGTACAGTATGTGGTACCCTTGGTAAATATGAACTAAGAAGCCTGTGAAAATAAATCTGCATTAATACTTTTGACCTTTTATAAAAAATTAAAATCACAAAAATCTAACCTTTCATTGAAGTAAAAATAAAAATGGCGGGAAATCTCAAGATAATAATTAATGGCGGGAAATCTTATTATGAAATAAATGTTTTTCTCTAATACACATTGGCCACAATAATTGGCACCCTTTTATTCAATACTTTTGGCAACCTCCTTTCGCCAAGATAACAGCTCTTCTCCCATAATGCCTGATGCGCTTGAAGACCTGACAAGAGATCAGAGACCATTCCTCCATACAATTCAAATTCCCAAGTTCATCTTGATTTTTAGCAGATTTTTAGCAGAGGCAGTCAGGTTTTGATTTTTTTATTGTTGGTATTTGATAGAATCCATGATATTATCCATCTGAACAAGATGTCCAGAACCTCCAGCAGAAAAATAGTCCCACAACATTAAAGATCCAGCAGTATATTTAATCGTACACATTGGGTACTTTTTTTTAATCCCTATGGGCACCAAACCTGTTTGCTGCGAAAATGCTCTTTAAAAAAAAAAAAAAAAGTTTCATCTGACCATAGAACCCAGTCCCGTTTGAAGTTCCAGTCGTGTCTGACAACTGAATATGCTGTGGTATAAACCACTTGTGGTGATGTAGGAGCTGTTTGATTTTTTTTTTTTTTTTTTTGGCTTTCTGACCCACAAGTCTCATCTATTTCCTGCAATTCTCCAGCTGTGACCCTTGGAGAGTCTTTGGCCACTCAAACTCTCCTTCTCGCCATCCATTAAGACAATATAGACACGCGTACTCTTTGGTCTTTGTGTTACCTCATTTATACTGTTGCTAAACAGGAACTCATGGCTAATTTCATGTTCCTAGACCAATGGTGTGTGTTAAAATTGAAATATGAAGGGGAATATACATAGATATATTTTACTAATAAGAATTTCTAGGGGTAACAATAATTGTGGCCAACATGTATTAGAGAAAAACATTTATTTCATTATGATTTCCACCCACATTCATAGAAAGGTTAGATTTTTGTGATTTTTTTTTAATGAAAGATTAAAAGGATAAACAATGCTGATTTATTTTCACAGCCTTCTTTGATCATATTTACCAATGGTGCCAATAATTCTGACCACGACAATACCTCACAACCTAGTTTTAATTTCTGTCCAATTAAATATGATGTACAATGGAGTTAATAGGCCAATCTTTCAAGTTAATGTAAACTGCCAGAAATGTATTTTATAATATGTTGAGTATATATTCTGTAAAAGTAAAAGTTTTCATTGAAATTTAGTGTAAAATAAGTAAATAAATCTAAAAATAATTCATTTTAGATTAAATATCCATTTACATTTAGTTTTATTCATGTGTATATTACGGAATTATATTGGCCATTGGCCATTAAAAAAACCCATATAGATCAACCACCAACACAATGGTTCTAAAACAGGGGGCCTCGGCAAATTTCAATGGGGGTCCCAATAAGTTTTAAACTAAAATTAAGTTATATTAACACAATAAATGCCAAAAACACAAAAAATAATAAACGGAGCAATTCCAAGAGGGTCCTCGTACCTTGGTGCTTGGGCCCTAAATATGTGTAACCAGAGATACATCTCAGCTTAGACTAGAGATCCTTCAAATATTGTCTTGGACATTGGAGGCTTTAGAGTCAAAAAGGTTTTGAACCATTGCACTAGTGTGTGAATCTGATCTTTCATTTTAAGTGTTAAATAAGTGTTAACAAAAAAATAAATATTAAAATACATTTGAAATATTATGCTTAAAGTTATAAAAACTGCCCAATTTGTTTAATCCCAAGTTGATATGGTCTATCCACTGCTTGTAATAGAAGAAGCCACAGCCATGATGGGCTTTGAAAGATGAACCCAAGTGTGGCTCAAATGGTTAAACTCGGACACCCCGATTACAAATTAGCCTTGTATGGATGTCAGGGGCCAGAGTGCAGAGGAGATAACATTTTATCAGAGAGGCAGATGGATGAAAATAGGTAATCAATAGCCCAGGGGATCGATGGTTTAGTGACATCCTTCTTAATCAAAGCAGCAAAGCCATGCTGACGGACCTGAACCCCCCACAGCACACTCAAAGATTATCTGTCTAAAGTCACAGCTAGCATCACGGCTCACAGTCACAAATGAGCGCACGCACATACATGCACACATGGGAAAAAGACAAGTAACAATCACCTGTTGATGTCAAACTACAGCCAGACATTTGATTATCAGCATAAAGTCTGGTTTACTTTGCAGTTTATTCTAATTAAGAGACACTGAACATAACAGGAAGGGGCTGTCCAAGCAATTTGTTATTTATATATATATAAAACAAAAAAAAAGTATCTTTTACACCAAAAAATGGCAAGACTTGTCCCATAAAAAAGTGATTAGTCTTTGCAAATTAATTAGTCTTAAAGTAAACAAACACACACACATACATAATGATCACAAATGTTAATACGGCGTGTAGGGCTATACAAATCAGCGTGACTAACCGCTACACATTTATAGGTTTAGGTTATATATATATATATATACACACACACACACACACACACATACATATATGTATAAAACGATTCAAACAGTATCAAGAAACTCAGAAGGTTCTTACAGAATTTCCAGCATTGATCATTTGATTCAAATTAGGACAAGGAAAGAAAAAACACAGATGGGATGAAAGAGCAGGAAGGAGAGACAGGGAAGAGAGGAGACAAGAGGAGGAGAGAAAAGCCACAGCATCTGTGGGAAAGTTGAAGAATTTTATTAACTGTGTGTGTTTCGAGAGGGGGGTCTAGCAGCACGGAATGTTCCGGGTGCTGATGGTCAGCCCAGGGTGAGTGAGAGGGCTGGCACGAGGGCCACGGACCACAGCCTCCACACAAAGCATCCTGGGAGCCATGGAGGAGGGAGATAGAGGAGGGGAAAAGAGAGAGGAAGAGGCTCGGCAGGATCTCCCCACTGCCCCTCTGCCTCTCTGTGTCTAGAGGAAATGTGGAGCACTTCACTGCCCTCTGAAACGCATGCCTTCCCCAGTTAGCAGCGTTGCCAAGGGCCAAGCCCGGCTGGCTAACGGGAAAAAAACTCTAAACTTTTTGCAGTTAACCT